TTTTGGTGACTAGCTTCTTGAGTTCTTTGTATATTTTGGAGATCAGCCCTCTGTCAGATGTGGGGTTGGTGACTATCTTTTCCCATTCTGTGGGCTGCTGTTTTGTCTTGTTGACTGTGTCCTTTGCCTTACAGAAGCTTCTCAGTTTCAGAAGGTCCCATTTGTTAATTGTGGATCTCAGTGTCTGTGCTACTGGTGTTATGTTCAGGAATCTGTTTGCTGTACCAATCAATTCAAGGGTACCTCCCACTTTCTCCTCTCAGAGGTTCAGCGTGGCTAGGTTTATGTTGAGGTCTTTGATCCATTTGGATTTAAGATATGTGCATGGCTGTAGACATGGATCTATCTGCAGTCTTCTACATGCCAGTATCCAGTTATGCCAGCACCATTTGTTGAAGATGCTTTCTTTTTTCCATTGTATAATTTTAGCTTCTTTGTCAAAAATCAGATGTTCGTAGGTGTGTGGATTAATATCAGGGTTTTCAATTCAATTTCATTTGTCTAGCTGCCTATTGTTGTGCCAATACCAAGCTGTTTTCAGTACTGTAGCTCTATAATAGAACTTGAAGTTTCTGTGGAACCTTCTGAGACGCACACTCTGAATTAGTTACTTGTTCTTTGGTGCCACCTTCTGGGAGAAACACTCATTAGATTGTGTGGTCCCAGGTTGCTACAAGGGTTGAGATGGTCAGGCAGAAGGGGCCATTGAGTGAAGGCTCCCACTGGATAAGATGGAGGGGAGAATTAGCTTGCCCCTGGATAATTAAGTGGCATTTGTGTAGAGGTCAGCTCTAAGGTCTGGGCTTCTCAGTAGAGTTGCTTCCAGGATGCAGTTGGCTATTTCCTAATGGTCAAAACTGGTCCTAGCATTTTTCTGTGACCTTCATTCATCACCCAGGCCAATAAGGCAACCTCTTAGCTCTCTCCACACAGAAAGCCAGGTTTCAGCAAGGCTAGGTGCACAGGGCCTTCACCTTCCATCTACCTGCTGCTTGGAGCTTTGTTCCTCTAAGCACTCATGGACACCCTGTCAACTCCATGCCCAGAGCAGGCTATGCGGCTCCACACCTCCAAGCCTTTGCTCAGGTGGTCTTCTCTGCCTAGAGCTCTTCCATTCTATGGAACGACTTAAAAAATTTCTACAAGACACTACTCAAATAGCACCTCCCTAAGTAAGTCTTCCTCAATTTTTCTGGGAGAAGGTAGCTCTTGTTGGATGCCCTGACTGTCCTCTGATTGCCCAGAGTACATGGTACCCATGTATAACTGTTAGCCCCACCCCTTGAGCTAGCTGGCCCAGTCTTATTCATATTGCCTAGCAGAGGGTCTGGCATGCTGCAAGTACTCATGAAATAGTTGCTGAATGACTGGTTGAATGTGATTCATTACTGTAGACTTTGCAGGTTCACTAATTGAGGGAGGGAATCCATGGAAGATGTTTTTAAGTGTGGCCTTGGAGTTGGTGCTGGGGGGTGGTGGGGGGATGTAAGCTCTGATGAGAGGTTGTGGATGGATAATGAGACCTTTTGTGACTCCTAGGTGTTTCAGATCCTGGAGGTAAGTCCCTAAAACTATCTGAGTTCATCTTAGAAAGGAGTGTGATGATGTCATCCCAGGAATGCAGTTAAGGTTTGGTCCTGCTGTAGAAGAACCTGCGGAGAGTCACACACTGGCTGTCATAAATGAGTGGACCAGGAATGGGCAGGATGTCTAGCATGGTGGGAGTTACCCTGCTCAGAAGGCTGCCTTTTGTCTGACTTCTAGGATCACACAGAGCCTACGCTGTGGATGTTGAGTAGCCCGGCACGGAGAGCAACAGGTTAGTTTATCTTCCAAGGCATCTCGGGGGTGGTGTGGGCTATGCTGGGTGTGTGCAGCTCTTTGAGAGCAGAGATCCTCAACTTGCCTGTTCTGGAGAACATGTGCAGTGTGGAGAGCATCCCACAATGGAAATGTGGCCCCAACATAGCTTAGAATCCCAGAGGACAAGCATGTCCTTGGGCTGGTCCACAAACACAAAGATTTGAGTACAAATCTAGGATTGTGCAAGCCTGGTAAATTCCCTAACCTCATTGGATGTCATTTTCCCTTTAGGAGAATGGGATAGTGATGCTCAACTCCTCAGGGCCCTGTGTGAATTAAGTGGGATAATGTACAAGATGCTTTGCCTGTAATCTAGCTGGGGACGTGGGGCTGTTATGATTGTTGTTTGCACAGGATATAGGGAGGGCAGCAGCTCTCTGTTACCTCTGCTTCTGTGGGAAATTTGGAGTAAGAGGCCCTGGGAATCAGATGGACAGCGCACAGAGCTGTGAGAAGGCCCCAGGACTATAGAGACCTTTCTGGGAAGGGGGATATCAGTGCCTAGAGATCACATGCCAGATGGCGGTGGGGACAACCGTGTCAGTTCCTATTCTGACTATTGGTGTCTGTGTGCCCCAGTGAGAAAGAAAACACACGAACAGCACAATGCCCAGCCTGATTCCCCATGTGCAGTGTAATTGTTTTAGTGTTCTGCTAGTCCCATAAAGTAGTTTACTGTAGGGGAAGGAAGGTATCTTGCCTTTTCAAGGATGTTAACATTATCACTGTCAACAACAAAAGCAGTGCCTTGCCTCAAACCATCTTTTGTTTGTTTCATTCTTGACTATTAGGAGGCCACTTCTGAATCCAGGAGGTCCTCAGCACAACGAAGGGACTCAGTCTGAGATCAGGCAGGAAAATCTGTTGAGGGCAGAGGCACCGAACCAAGTTCACAGGGGGCTAGTGAAAGCATGAGGAAGCGCGCTTTTTGACAGCACAGGAAAGTGGTCAGAAGGGCAGATGTTTCTAGGAGGAAGAGTCCATCCTGTCATGGCCTTCTGTAGGTCAGGTCCTGTTCCCTCCCCACAGACTTCCTCCTCTGCTCTGCAGGTTTGACCATACCCTGCTGGGCCCAGGAGTCATGCCAGACACACCAGTGGAGGACGCCCTCTTCCAAATCATACACTGCTTCCACCACTATGCTTCCCGGGAAGGGGACGTGGAGACCTTGTCCCTGGAGGAGCTGAAAGCCCTCCTCCTGGATAGTGTGCCTCGCTTCATGGACACCTTGGTACGTCAGGTCTGGGGCTGGAGTGGGAGATGAAAAGAAGACCAAAGTGCCCAGAACGTGCTATCGGTGGGGTTGGAAGTGAGTGGTGAGATGCTGGAAGGAGCTGACTCCCATGAGAACCTCCTGGAAGGAAGATGGTCTCCTTCCAGGGAGGGTGTGCAGACAGCAGGGTTTGTTTTATTTCCATCCTTCCCTCCTTTGAAGTCACCTGCTTGGTTTCACTCCAGTCCTTGAAGAGCTAGTCTTTGACACTCCAGCCTGACACCATACCTGCTGTTTCTGCTGCCTCCTGTATCCCGTGAGCCTAGGCTCAAAGTTCTCGGTTCACAAGTCTCTTTACTCAGTGACACTGCCTCTCTCTGTGGGCCCTTGGAGCCTAAGTCCCTTTGTCAGTGCCATGGTCATGAGCCTGGAGTGGGTAATTTAGGCTGCGGAGGCTGCCCTAGTCTGGTGGGCATGGGAACTACGACCTCCTCCATTTCACAAGGCTTGGGCTTCTTAGAGCTGGATGGGGCCAGCCCCAGATCCTGGGCTTACAGAGCCTGCTCAGCCAATCTGTCATCAGTCCCAGTCCCCGAATACTGTGATTTTTAGGGACTGCTGCACTGAAGCAAAGTCCGATGCTGTCTTCTGTCCCAGGCTCTCTGACCTGCCATCTCTAGAGGAGTGGGACTCAACTCACTCTGGTAAAATATCTTCTTCACTCACCTTCTTTTGAGAAAGAATGTAAAAGACAACCTCATTCTCTCTGGTATGTTCCTTGGAGAGCCCAGAAGACAGCTAGGGTGGAAGTTTCTTGCTAATTGTTTTTGGGAACTCCTTTCCCTTCTGGGGAGAACTCCTTGGCAACTTTCCTGGATTGCCTAGCCCTGCTGCAGGGCTCTTGGGGGCAGACATAGGGGCACAGCTGGCAGACTTGGTAAGGATGGGCATTGATGAGGGCTCTGGTCTTCTCTGGTTAGGAAGCTTCGTGGGTGCGATGGGGTTATAGGATGGTAGGGCTGCTACAGGGGAAGAAGCTGCTGACCCTCCTACAGGGATGAGCGACCCTCTAGGTCTGCAACCACTTCCCTCAAATGCTTCCCAGATGTTCCATTCTGCTCTTGAGTGTGCCACGTACACCAGAAAAATCTCTCTGAAACCTTCTTTTCCTGCCACTACCTAGTTCTCTCCCATGCCCACCTGTCCCCGTCTGCCACATATCTTCACTCAAAACAAGAACCCCAACTTTCCTCATGCTCATCTCCCCATCTCAAACAGCCCCTTCCTGTGCCATTCTGATCTTTAGCCTTAGGGTCCTTTGCTTTGACATCCTGGACAGCTCCGGCGGACCTTTCTCCATCCTTCCCTGCTTCCTGTACTCTATAGGTGAACCAGGTAGAGCTTCATAAACAATGCCTAGGCAGGTAGCACTGCCCGTAGAGATATGCTCTGCTTAGAGATGGTCCTGCAGTCACACGGGAGACATGTGTGTGCACGGACACAGGTGGACCCTCCCTTTAAGGAGCTCTTGGTGTGGAGAAAGGAGGCAGTGCCTTACCTTCAGGAAGCTTACACTGGTGTCTCTCTGGGAGAGTTTGCAGTGCAGCTGGGAAGACAAGGCACAGCCACTGAGTGTATGTGTAGGCTGTAGAGTGCTGTTCCGGAACTGCTCACAGTTCTCCTGTGAAAGGATCAGGTTCGGTCTCTTGTTCGTGCCCATGCTACTTTAGGCCCAGTGCCCAAGGTGAACACCAACACCTGTGCCTCTTCAGCCTGGTTTTGTAGCATGTGTGACATGTGTGAGGGCTTGTTTCCTGAATGTTCGTTGTAGGGGGATGGTCCTGCTGGGATCTTTCCATGTCCAGTAGAAGGAGGGGTCTGGAGGATATGTGTACTGGGTGCTCAGTGGGTGCTGATCCTCTTTGTGTTCCTCAGGGCCGCAGGCAGACATACTACATCACAGAGCTGTTTCGGGTGGCTGACAAAAACAAGGACAACCAGATCTGCTTTGATGAGTTCCTGTACATCTTGGGCAAACTGGTGAAGGACTATCACCTGCAGTTCCACCGGCAACTGTGTGCACACTACTGCGCCCAGCACAGCCTCTACTAGAGAGAGGACAGGCAGTGTCTCACCACTGGAGTCTGTCCCGGGAGGCAGACTCTATGAGTGGCTTACAGAACTCAGCCATGTATTTCTTCTTATGTGTGCACACATGTGTACAAAAAATATTGCAAATATTTCTAGGAAGTACTTATGGCATGGGTCCGGGTATCTACTAATGTTCAGTAAAAGACGTTTAGTCTTCACTGTGTGGAACATCATTTGGTGCAGGAGACATTGCTTGATCTGGGAATACTGGCCTTGAATTCAAGGTGCCTTTATCTGCTGCAAGAGACACAACCTTGCTAACAGAAATCCTGTCTGAGGTGTGAAATGGACCTCTGTCTGTAAGGAAGGGGCTCTTCTCTGGACCAGGGCACCCTCTGAGAAGGAAGTAAGGCCTCCCAGTGGTGTTACTGATCATACTACTGTTGTGGCCTGACATGTCTCAGCTCCAAACCACGGAAGCCACGAGGTTCAGCCTGAGTGGGGGACCATAGACTAGGAAATTCCTAGCAACCCAACGGCGATAAAGACCAGATGCAAACATCTTGTCATCTTTAGAGAGCTCTCAATTCCATGCTGCAAAACTGGAGTCTCTTCTTTATTCAGCATCTTCCCGGCTGTTTCCTAACCATGCTTCCCTGACCCTGAGACCACTTCTCTTCCATCTTGCTAGACCCTATCAGCAGGTCTCTCTCTCATCTCTCCTCCGGTCGACCAATACCTCCTAACTATCTGTGCTCACTTGTCCCATACACCTAGCCCTTCACCCTGGTGCAGGCCTATTCAAATGCTTAGTTCTGTAGAGATGCAAACTAGGAGGCATTCTCCACTGAGGTTATGCCATTCAATAGCAGATTAGTTAGCATCTGCAATACAATTGTAGACCGGAGCTCTGGAGGTATGGACCCCGAGAAATTCCCTAATGGAATCAGTTCTCGGCTATGTATTACTCACTGTACATGGGGGATAGGAGGAGGGGAGCCACATGGATAGCAGTGCATTGATGGAGTCCTTCCATGGGTCTGCATGCACAGGAGATTGGCCTGGTCCTGGGAAACACCAGGGAGAGGAGGAGTCCATAGTGAGACCCATGTATCTGCCACTGGTGATCCTGGGGAAGATGATGTTGGTTGTTGACCTGGGCTTGACCTGTGTCGGCATAGGAGCCAGTGTGCTAGGGAGTGCTGTCTACTGGATTTTGTGTATGTTGAGTCAGAGGGGCAAGGCAAATACTGGCAAAGCCAGCCCAACAAAGAAGCAGACACCTGCCATGAGAAGAGTGATGAACAGAAGCTGGGAGTTGTCAATCAGGCAAGGCACCCTGGAGGAAAGAGGGGTTGGGTGTGGTGATGACTGGTGTTTCTCCTGATTCTGAGCTATTCATGACTCAATGGGCCAAGTCCTCCTGTGGTCCCTGCCCTCCTGACTGGTACCTGTTGCTGCCCGGTTGTGTGGTTCTTCTCTTTCTTCCTCGAAGCCCAGAGATCAGGGAGGAACCCCCCAGGAAGGGTTTCTTTGCCTCCAGACATTTTTAGTGCCCATCTTGGTAGCCTGTCTTCTGAAGACTACAGGTCCCAAGTTTTCTGAAAGCAGGGACTCATCACATTGCTTTCCTTTGGGCAGGTGTTTGCATCCTTTTCTCCGCAAGGCCTTGTCCCATGGAGGAACATGCTTCTGTCTCTCTGCAACTGGCCTAGTGTCTTCACATGATGAGTTCAGGAGGTTTTTGAGGAAGGAAATCAGGAAGGGGACCCACAAAACTGAAGTCTAGTGACTTAGACCTATGGCTCTCCTGTGACACCTCTTGATCATATCCAAGAGCCAGTGTCCTGGGTTACTCAGCTGTTCTTCCTCAGGGCCCAGGCAGGTCCTGCTTGTTACATGGAGAGCTGGTAGGTCACACGACCTTTCAAGGTCACCGAAGCTCTGGCAGCCCAGAGTCCTCGACACCTGCCCCAACTCTTCCTGGCAGTTTCTCCACCAGTTCTTGCTCCCTCTGCCCTCATTTCTTCAGACTCTACTGAGGGCTATTGAGACACAGACCTGGGGACTCAATTTTTTCCTGTATACATAGCCATGTTTCTCTCACTTAGATTGCTACATATTGACAGATAATTACAAATTCTGCCTTTCCTCCAACATGCTCACTTCCTTCTTTAATTGAACTCGGAGGTCATAACCTGTGTCCCAAGTCAGATATGGCCACCTATCCTGAACTAAGATCAAAATTTAAATAGAGGTCCAAGGATATTCATGTTGAAGCAGTCCTAGTCTGGGTGTGGTCCTGCCATTACAGATCTGGCCTTCAGTCCATCCTGTAAGGCGGCCTGAGAAGTGACTAGAAAGGTGTGAAATCTCTTTTCTAGAGTCAGGCCCCCCTCTGGCTGGTGCCTTTTCCTTCTCCTACTCTTGAGCCCCTCTTTCCGTTTCTTTGGGATCTATTGTTTAATCATTGGAGAGGTTGAGAGACACAAAGTGTTTTTTTTTCTTTCTTTCTTTCTTTCTTTCTTTCTTTCTTTCTTTCTTTTTTTTAGAATGTCTTTGTTTCTGCCAAGCCAGCACATATGGTTTCCGACAAGCCAGCACATATGATTCCTGCTCTCAGACAACCCTGATGCCCACTTAGAGGGAATGTTATCTGGTGGTGAGAGTTCACAGACCCATTAATCATCCTACTGCAGGTGCTGGCAGGAAGTCTTCACTAATGGACACCATTAGGTTCAAGGAACCTGAGGAAAGAGGTTGAGTAGCACATGTGCCTCAGTTTCCCTATCTTTCATATAGGGATAACTTTACCTATAAAGTTCACTCTACTAGGTTTCTGGGATTATCAAAGGAATCAGAAGATGTAAACACACTTAGAAAAGTGATGTGTTGTTTTGGTAAGGTGTGTGCTAGATCATATAACAACAGTGCCTGGTGGGAATAGGTATGAACTATGGGCTGATTATTGCTTGAAAACTTGTGATATAGCATTGAGGAAAACATCCTATTTTCCTAGCCAAACGTCAACATACCTCTTGTTACGGTGGATGTATACCATTCTTGCATATAAAAAAAAGACAAGATGTGGCTGAATGTGATAGTTACTGCACTGGACAAGGGATAAAGGTTTGGGCAGAAGGGAGGATTAACTGTACTGTTGGGGAGGATGGAGGACCAGGATGGATAGAGCAGCTAACGCTTAGCTGGGTGGTTAAATAAGGAGCTTGTCAGGAGAGAGGCATTCCAGGCTGTGGAGGAAATAGACGCTGTCACATCACGTCCTAAGCCACCTCAATCCCAGCGTCTCATGTTTCCTTTGTACAATGGGTCTGTAATAGCATGTGCCAGGATTGAGAGTTAAGTAGGATGATGCAAGTAAAGCACTGGGGAAGTCCTCACAATGGCACACACCCAGCAATTGTCAGCAATTAGCCGCCACTATCCACTGCCATTGCATTGTGGCTGCTGCATGTCAGTCACTGTGCTGGGCTGTGGTCAGCTAATAATGGCTCAAGTGGGACAAGCAGAAGGCCTCTCCTTGTCCTCCTAGAAGAACAGGCTGAGTAACCAAGACTCCTGTATCTATGACACTACCAAGAGGTGACCAGGAGCCCTAGGTAGGATATACATCCAGAACTGAGCAACACAGTCCTCGAATTTCTTGCTGTAGCACCTGATGAGCCTAAGGTAGTGTGGGTCCAGATTCAGGGACTTGGCTTATTGATTCAGATATTAACATTCTTCCTCTGGAGTGGTTCAGGTACAGGGTCAGCCACAGAGCCATAGCACACTCACCCCTGCCATTCTTCCCATTCTCACATCTCTAGGAGCACTTTATACATTTTATTGTGTATGTGTGAAGGCTCTCCTCTCCTCTCCTGTCCCTCCCT